CACAATATATTATTCTATGGTCAGGTAGTGTACAATTAGCACTGGTGAACATTCAGTGCAAGATAAGCAGCGGTGAGAAATTAATGGAAACATTTCTAGGTCTGTGTCCTTGGTTTGACACAGTGCTAGTTTTCCTGATTTATGTTTCTTGAAAGATGTTGGCGCTCTGAACCTTTATTATGTGCTTCTATTATCCGAAAATTAAATTAAATTCAAATATAAGAAATTTGAGAGACAGTATGATGACTAATTTGTTTGTCAGTTATTAAGAACTGTTATTTTAAAACAATTGCAATTTTTACTTGAAAAGTAATTGTCAGTGTATTCATTCAGAATTTAGTAGATTGTGAAGAACTGAATTATAGGTTGGTTTCTGGTACCAGCATTCACACCTTATAATCTGTGTAAAACAATTGAATGTATGCTTCATTGTTCTTCATTTATCTGAAAATTTTCTGAAGGCAAGAGATGTACAAATATGGTATCTTATGAATAAGAAGGGCTCTAATTAGAGGACTGAAGAAATGTATAAGTACTTGACCACAAGATTCTAATTGTCATTCCTTGCTTAGTGAATAATTAAGTATTGTTAATGCACTTCCTTATAAACTGCATGCAAGTTACATGTTTGTCTTATTTTGAATCCCAGATTATATGAGAAATTGGTTTCAAAATTCCAGCTCCCAATGAAGTTAGAATTATTGTTCGAGTAAAGGATGTGAATGATAATGCCCCAAGATTCGTAATAAATGGACGTCCAGTTGTAGCAGCAATACCAACCAGTGCCACCTACGGATACCAGATAGTTAGATTACAGGTAAGAAATTCTTTGAGATGAGAATATCTGAACTATTTAGTGACTTGAAGTTTTTGGTGCTTTTAGCTCTGGTTATGGGTTGGCATGCCTGTCACACTGTAATTTGCTTTTCCTGTCTTTGGTGCACAGTCTTTTATCTTAATTTGGATTCTGTTACATTTATGCAGAATCTTGGTCGTGTGGACTCCACAAGCTGTTCAAGAAGGAAGGATGTGAATGTTGGGCATAAAGAGCAATTTTATCAGATGTACATAAAAGAATTAATTAGTAGAAAAACTTCTAGTGCACAGTGCAACCGCTGAATTATTTGGAACTAGAAAATGATCACTGTAATTAAGCATGAGTAACCAATCAGTAATAACAGTCTTGATGCTATGTAACATTTGCTGATCAGGGTGGTATATTGATCATGCTCTGGACTTAGGTTTTGGGGTTACCCTGTTTAGATCTCACTTGGATTTCTCTCTATCCTGCCTTCAAGATCTTTTACATGCTTTACGTCTTAAATAACTCTGTTTATTGTTAGCAGTTTAAAACGCACCATGTGTCGGTGAGAGCATTGTTAAGTGAACAACATCACAAATTATTAATAAGTTGTAGTTTCACAATAAGACATGAAGACACATGTCTTCTGGGATTTTGCAACACAGTCTGGTGGATATTGATTAATGTTTCAGAAGAGCTTACTACTTTTCTTCAGGTTGATAAACATCACATGGAAATAATGGAATAGATACAGGAGTGGATTGGACAAGGCAGAGCCCTGGCTGGACCAGTGGGAAAGGAGGGAGAAACCAGAGTTAGGGCAGGAAAAATAAAAGAGTCATGGGAGAAGAGGGGACCTTGACAAGGTTGTAGGGAGGAGAGAGCAGGATTCATAGAAATAGACCACAAATACAATTATGTGGAATTAAGGTAGGAAAGAAGAAATTAATGTAAGGAAAATGAAACAAGATAATGGAGGGAAAATTAAATAAATTAGAATATAATACAATAAAATAAAATAAATCTTTTGAGGAAGTAAGTTTAAGAATCTGAATTCAAAAGAAGGGAATAGGAAGTCCTGATAGGGCCAAAAGGGGAGCAGTGGGGAAATCACACAAAACTAGTCTTCATTGACCCTGTTGCAAGTGACTGACTTAACAGATGTGTTACAGGCTACTGATCCTGATGAAGGACTGAATGCAGACATACGTTACCAGATCTTGGGAAGAGTTGATGATGAGTCCCGCAAGTTTGTTATTGATCCCATCACTGGACAGGTTCGCTCTATTGTGAGCTTTGCACACGATGCTGGTCGTGTCTATGGTTTTGACGTGAAAGCCACAGATAAAAGAGGAGCAGATGATGGAAGGTCAGCCATCACAAATGTTTTTGTAAGTGTCCTTTTATTTCCTATGAATTACTTTTCCAGGGTGTAGAAAAAGTTATAGAATTCTTTCATTTAAAAGCATAAAGAAACTAATAGTGAAAGTGGAGTGATACACTAGAATCCATAACAAGCAGCTCATGTGCCCTATGATGGATTATATAAATCCAGTCTGGAAGGCCGCTGCCCACAGCCATATACAGAAGCTGCAAGTATTATAAGTCTAGTGACTCTGGGTGAAATTCCTAAGTTAAAATATGGTCACCAACCCCATAGTACAAGAGTGTAAATACATTTTCCCATGTGATAAAGGTTATGCCTGAAAAAGAGTGGTTCCTTAGAATGATTTCAATAAATAGAAATAAGAGTATTTTAACATATTTTCATTCTTCTGTTGGTTTGAACTTCATTTACTTAACACACAAATACAGATTTTTCCTCCGTTCATACAGCAAGCATACAGTTTTATAGTTAACTAGGAATGGAGGAATGTGTCATACTTTGTAAAATGTTAAATATTTAAATACAGTTTTCATACCTGAATCTGGAATATTAATGTTTATTGTTGATTAATTAAACAAAAGTAATATCGGATACAGTTATACTTCGTTAATAATGTTGGACTCAAGAAATCAGGAATATATAACACTCTGGGAATATGTCGTACAAATGCATCAAATAGTAAATTATGCTTCATTGCACATTGTCTTCTGCACATGCGTGTCTATAGCCTAACCTAACCTAACACAACATAAGAAATTAAAAGAAATACACATAAGCAACAGATCATTGTTTATTGTCGACTGCGCATGCAACAATGTGCATTGCCATCTGCACATACGTGACACTAATATAACCTAACACAACATAACCCAACAAAACCAAATTATCATGAACTGTCCACAAGCAACTATTCATTGCAAATTTTCGTCTGCACATTACTAACTTAACCCAACCCAACATAACCAAATTTAAAACACTTCTCTTTAGCAACTGATCATTGCACATTGTCATCTGTGAATGTACGATTGTGCTTGGCCGTACTCCACATGTAGTCAAGAACAGTATTCTTTGTAAAATTATTAGATTGACATAAGTTCAATGAAATGTCATCATTGCATTGTTTGTACACTGTCCTAATTTATTAAGTTTTCTGCTCTAGAGAACATTATTGAAAAGAAAGTGGAACTACATGTGTTTCATTTCTCAGGTATATGTCCTTGATGAAGAGAAGCAGCTGGTGATGGTTATGGGTTCAAAGCCGACTACAGTTGAGAAGGATATGGAGAATATAACCAAGTGAGTTACATCAGACCACAGCAAAGTTCTGTAGATTTATTACAACTATCATTATTGTGTGCTTCTTGTCATTAAGTGGCTCATGTATCTAGCATAATCTTACTTTACCCGATATTCTTTAGATGGTTTAGGTTGGTTTCTTATATTTTTGTGTCTGTGCATGCATCAGTACCAGATTTATGCTTAAATTAAACAAGCTACAGCTTAGGGTCTTACTGTTTTCTGAAGTTTGTTCTCTTCTATTATCAGCATAACCAGTGAGAGAACAGAACCCTATGTACTCTGTTGGGTTCCCTGACTGGGCTAGTCTCAACCTGCTACCATTTTTTATTGTTAAATTATTCCATCATGAGAAAGTTTTTCCATAAAGTTACTCAAATAAAAAAAACGTTAACACTCATAAATAATTCTACAATTACTAGAATATTGTAATTGTGAAAGGAACCTCATCCTTATCATAGCTGATATTTTGATGGTTAATAATATCCTGTCATTTATCCATAACTGCTGGTTAAATATTTGGCTGATCAGCAGGTAAAGTTATGCCATCCATGTGCAGTCCGCCTTGACACAAGAAACCGTTGTTCTTGACGATAGAATAGAAGTACTGTTTCTGAAATTTGGTTTTGTGAGAGACTGTAATCATATTCAAAACAGAATGAAATTTTTTAAAATTTCCTGAGTCAAGTCCTGTCTAATATATTTGCTTAATAAAATCTTTATAGTTCACTATTTTCATGTACGTTATACAAGTAGTAATAAATGTGCGAGTTTTGAATGTGAGAAATGTAACCAACTAGCTTCTAATTGAGTTGTACATTTTCCCAACAGTGCTCTCTTCAATTTGACTGGTTTAGATGTGCGAGTCAGAAAGATTGAACCTCATGTGGAACGAGACATTGACGAGGGCAGTGCGTAAGTTCAATACGACTTGCAAATCTTTTTACTAATTTGTTGTGTAAGTATAAGGACCTCTGTAAGTAGACATATAAAGTGAAACAGAGTATACAAGGGAAGACAGCTTGATGTCACAGTCATATACGGAGGACAAGGATTTACTGTCTTTTAGGCACATTTCCCTATTATGATAGCCTGGTCTATCCATTTGTCCATGTGCCATAAACAACTTGAGAATGAATTAACTTGATTTTTATTTAATTTTATTTTGAAGAACTTTCTGAACAACTGTCAAGGAATCTCAATACTTATTTAGATCTGAAAATTGTAACATTGACATTACATGAGTGTGTAGATAATTTATTGAGTTTGTCTCAATAAATACTTGTGAAAAAAGTGACATACATAATTTTTTGTTTGTTTAAACATTCACTACATCATTAATTCCAGGATAACTTACAGCACTCCCTAATTATGTGGCAGTTATGTTTCAAGGAATGGTAACAGGGGGTGAAATCACATAAATAAAAAGAGAAAAACCCTTCTTCCTTGCTGCCCATGCAATAATCTAGTTCCTGCCTCATTTGAACAGCCGGTAATAGTAATATGACACTATCTTCAATAACATTTAGAAATGAACTATTCCTCTGAAGCTGGCTATCTTATGAGTTGTGCCATGTAGTCTGGTAGAAGTTTACCAGTGTTTCAGAGGTTCTTGCTACCATCATCGTCAGGGTGATGAGTACAGTAAGAACCTCTGAAACGTTGGTATACTTCTACTAGACTACATGGCACAACAACCCAGAAGATAGACTCACTGCCGTGAAAACCTCAAATTCTACTTAATTGTCCATTTTGTTTAAATTGGTGTTCTATTAACAGTAAGAAAAGAAGTTTCTCAGCCTCCACAACATTTTATTTACAGGACTGACTTATATCTTTATGCAGTCGACCCAAGGATGAACATTATCATTGATATGGACACATTACAGAAGTAAGTGAATAAGTGGCCTTAAACCATTGCAATGTTAATTATTGTTTGCCTGCATTGTAGCATGACGTGTTGCAAAAATTAAATAATAATTTCTTTGTAAATATGAATAATAAAGCTATCCCTTTTGTCAAAATGGCCAGTACGTGACTGCAAATTCTCACAAAAATGAAATTGTACTGCTGATGAGAAAATGAAATGAAGAACAAACATGTTGGTAATGAGGTCTAGTAAATAATTTTCAGACTTCAGTTCATAAGCATGTGTGCTTACAAAAGTTTACAACTGCTCCACCACTTAGCTGTGAAAACAGATACATGACATTTTATAAGTTTCAAACCAGAAGAGGTGTGTGTAAGAGTGTAAATAAAATGTACTTATTAAGTATGCGAATAAACATAGACTGTTTAGTATGTATTTGTCCATAAATTGTGTGGGTTTATGCTGTCTTTTCAAATCTTATTTATTCAGCGGTTAACCACATTACTATCTTGATTTAACTAGTGTTTGAAATGTCATCAAATCTGAAGTAAACTGAGTCTGCTAAATATTAATCTTTAGTTCACAAAGCTAAAATACTCCTCAATCAAACACACAAAAGAAATATGGAAGAGAAACAGGCTGAATAGCGCAAGGTTTCCAAGACTGATTTTCACACTATGAATATTTATGTATTTTACAGCGTCCTGAACAAGAAGCAGTCTGACATAAAGCAGCACTTGGAGCACTACCGAGTTCTAGAAATAGCCAATGGAGCTCCTGTTGTCAATAAACCACGGAACCAACGTTACCTACTCTCATCTCTTGAAGTGGGAGTGGTTGTGCTCGGTTGTGTTGTGTTTGTGGGCGCTCTGGCAGCTGCAATATGTGTTGGGTGCGTCCGCAGGGGAAAACAGAGGTAAGTGACATGTCGTGTAATGAAATACTGAACATAGAAACTGTAAATCAAGGAAAATTAAGAATGCATATTATCTTAATAAATATACTTCAAAGCTGATTTAAAAATCTGTACTCCTCCCCCAGTATTGTCAGGGTGATTAAGTCGAGAAGAATGAGATTGGCAGGGCATGTAGCACCCATAGATGGGACAAGAAGTGTGCACCGGACATTGGTTGGTAAGCCTGAGGGGAAGAACCGCTGGGGAGACCTAGACGTAGATGGGAGGATAATCTCAGGCGGGATCAATGGGAGATAGGAGTTGAAGGAGACTGGATTTTGTTTGCCCAGGACATGGTCCAGTGGAGGGCTTTGGTTAATTCGGTGATGAACCTTTGGGTTCGGTAAGCCATGTAGTTAGTTAGTTAGTTAGTTAGCTTCACAGCCAATGGGTTTACTTCAAGATGCCAAAAAGTAGAAGATAATTATGATATATAAATATATCTTATCATAAGTATCATATTCATTTTCAAAATGTATTCATGTCTTAGAAATAAATATGATAGTGTTAAAAAGTTTTAACTGGGAATGTCCTTTGAGAAAAGATCTCGGGTATTTACATAACATCACTAGACTCTCTGGTTGTACTTGCATCCCTCCCACATTCCATACCTTAATCAAGATAATGTCTTCCAATTTGTATCAGTAAGTCATATTTATTTCAGAAAACAACAGAAGAATAAATCTTACCCATCACAAGCGGGTTTCAACATCAGCAATCCAACAAACCCCATAATGAGAACCACTTCAAAAGCTCACCTGTTCCCTGCATCATATCTTGATAGCATGGGGTGTGGTGACACAACAGACACATATGTTGATCTGCACTCCAGCAAGTCAGTGGTCTGTGGTCCACTCTTCCATCAGCATCATGATCCAAGCTGCTCCAGACTCCGTGAACACCAGGGCCATAGCAGCTCAGTAGGCCAGCACCTTCGCCCGGTGCGTTCCAACAGCAATGTAGCAGCTGCCACTACTGGCCTGGAGGCTTCCATTACGTCACTCCAGTCCAGTGGGCAGGATTCTGGTATTGGACGTTGTGTTTGTGGGCATTCCACCAGTCACTCATCTGGTGACAGTAGCAAGTAAGCAAGTGATTAAAAACACAGAACTAACATCATTAATCATGAATGTTGATAGCTAGCTCTACTTCCTTGTCTTGGACCAAATTTATGTGTCTAAAGGAACTGTCGCTGAAGTCTGCGAAGCAGTTGTCTTTGGAATTGTTCACTTATTTTTTTGGATTTCTGTAATTCGTATGGTCTAAAACTTTCACAGCAAACTGAATTAATAAAATCCTCTTGGACTCTTAGACTTATTTTATCATTTGGCATGACTGATAGCCCAAGAGGATTGAATTAATTTCTGTAATTATTAACCAAGAAAATTTATACACTGATATTTTTCACTTCCTTTTTCTTGACTAAATTCATATCTCTGAGGCAGTGAATCTTAAAGGGGTGACTTTAGCAGGGGTGTGCCATATGAAGTACAGTTTTGGGAGTGATTCATTGTTTTGTAATAAATTTATAATTTACATAAATTAAATCACTCTATTTAAATATAGTACATAAATGGGACTTTGAGTCAGGCTTCATCTTATACGCATTGATGCTATTATATTATATTTTATTTATACAGAGAACAAGTAGTTCATCTGCTCACATATGAGTATGTAAACCATATTTGTTAGCATTCTGCCACCAAATTATATCACTTGCTGTTCACTTACCATAGGTTGTAATTCATATTTTACAGTGACTTTTATGTGTAGATAAGTGATTTAAAAGTAATTTTAATTGGTATTTTATGACTTTTAAATTACATAAATCTGAAAATATACATTTTATTAAAGCAGAATAACAAGTTATGGTATAGTGTGAAAACAAGATGAAAATAATTTGTCACACTCAAAAGAAGCATAAGAATCAGTGCTCTGAGACAACTACTGTTGGAGTCCGTGAAACAACTACTCTGCAGAATCTCTTACTATTCAATTTAAAATCAACACTGTTAATTACATAATGTCCGACTTTCACGTAGTATTATTGTGGAACTGTACCTCAACTCAGTTTTGAAATATGTTTCAAAACCTCCATTTAGTTCTGTCATGGTCATGCATTTGTCTGCAAGTAACAATGCCCAAACTATCTGGCCAATTAAAATAACTAACTAACATTCTTGAAGCTATTTAGAATTTGGTATAGTATGGTTCATTTTAAGTGCCATTTTACTAAGGGTATAAATACATTTTTGCACTTGTCTTTTATTACTGTGACAGATTATAATGAAATTTGATATGGCTCTTGTATGAGTATTACTGTCGATAGGGTCCATTTGATTTAATTACTTTACGGACTAAGTACATTTTTATACATTGCCATATATTCACTCAAGGGAAGAAAGTCTTTCCGCAGTTTGCATGCGCAATTAATGCATGGTTATAAGTCTGTATGCCATAACAATTAGTCATTTATGGTCTTATGTGATGATATCATGTACACATGTGATGATACGTGTGAACCGAGCCACTCAGTTCAAAGTAAAGTGGGTAGATCTACTTCATGCACAGATGTCAGCCTGTGACATAGTATATGACTGCTTGTCCTATCATCTGCACTGCTTAGTCACAGATTTTCACAAAACAAATGTCAGCTCAAAATCTAAAGAATATTGACCGCTACGTACATCGCTAAGGCTTGGAGATATTTTGCATTCAGTGTAGTAATTTTTCTTGTCATGTAATAATAGAAAATTTCCCGTCCATCACATTGAATTGACGTTATGATTTGATTAAAATGGGCATTTTTCAGAAGCATAAACCATAACCTATATGAGAAGTAAATGTCAGTACCAAATTTTTAATTGTGTCCAAAACAGAAGTTGCAAAGGCTCCATTTAGCTTTGTTGTCATCTCGTCTGTCTGTCTGTGTATAAACTCAGTTCCTGTTTGATGAATTTTTAGAAAATCTTAAATTGCAATCTTTTACAATGAGGATATTTTATTATTATGAGACTACAGAGTTTCTTGCTGTGCAAAGAAAGTAATTGAAGACACCTAGTGCAGTGCAGTGGTGTTCATAACATATTTCACAAATAATGTGAAAATAGCCAGTCTGAGAGGTTAGGCATTATGCTTCATTCATTAACATCCTCCCGGCTGATTGAGAACATGCAATTTGCATATTGCTTCCTAAGCCCATTAAAGACTTCATCAAATTCATATATTTGTGCAGTGCATAATTTATGATGATTTAAAATCAAATTTTCCCTAATGAAACAAGTTTCAGTTCTTTTTAAAATCAATTACTTATTCTTGATCATGATTTACCAAATTAATATGGTTTGTGATGTTGTTACATTAAGTAAAATCTGCCTCAAATATCCATCATTAAAGCATTACATATATTATACAAACTTATTAAATATTATGTTATCAGTGGCAGTTATGAAGACTCCTTGAAATCGCTCCGTCAACATACCATCAGTGGAAGTAACACTCGACACACAAGCCTCATGAGACGAGGTAACGACATTTCGACAAGAAGAAGACAGCGTCACAACTCCATCAGTGGGGATGTGGTGCGTCTAGCACCTGACATACAACAGCAGCCTATGAAACAGCAGCACAAACCCTCAGTTCTTATAGGAGCTTCTAATTCGGCATTAATTCGAAGAACGAGCGAAAGATCAATTATATGTCCATTGACAAACGAATGAGAGCATATTAATTGGTTTTATGAAATGTGAAGCATCCATGATTTTGATGATTTTGTCATCATTGAGGCTGGAAGATCCTGTTATATTTATAACGTTGCAATTTTTGTATGATAAAAAAGTGGTCTTCGTGTCTAGGGTAAGTGATCATTTTGTCAAAAAAGATAATTGAAGAGTAGATGAGCCATGTTCTATTAAGTACAAGCATCCTTATTTGTTTTACTCACCTTAGACTAAGGACCATTTTTTTATGTTGTAGGAGTTGTCCTGGAATAAAGCAATTACAGTAAGTTCTCAGTCATTGCTGTTCAGAAAAATATGGTCTTTGTTTGGAACAGGTACGAGGAAACCACAGTATATTATTACTTTAAAAATGACAAATTATGACAGTTGTTACCCAAAATGTTATGTCATCTCTTAGGCATTTACATATCCTACAAATAATACAAGTATAGAAGATTTTTAAGATATGCAATGCATAAGTTCTTTTCCTACTTGATGTATACCACGCACTTCTGTTGAAAGACTGGTTAATATATATTTGCAGTCATGTAAAAGTATTTTATATCTAGTGATATTATTCATTAGAGAATACTATGACAATTTTATTTTTAAAGTTAATATTTAAATTATCTTTCATGTGTGAAGATTATGTTTAATTTTGTATGGTTTCTTTATGAACTGTGATGTGAATTTTATTCGATAATCTGGTAATAGAGTATAATGGCAGGATGCGGAGAAGGCAATGTGAATTGAACAATGGCTGTATTTTTTTAATTCTATGTTACAATAGTGGCCTTGGCTTAATTGAAGGGCAAGGATATGAAATTTTAGGTATGATACTTAATCTCATCTGTCAAAAGTGATGTCAAAACAAAACAAGGAAAAGAGACAAGCAATATTGTTTTAGTGTAAGGGAAGAAGTTTTAATGTCTCCCTGACATAATTCTCTGTCTGCGGCTCCTCGCTGTGTGAAGGAGTAGAAAATTAATCAAAGTCAACTTTGATACAATGACCATGACATGGAAACTTTGGAGTGCACAGAGTGAAGGCAAATGTCCGTGTTCAGATGTTGGGATTGATGGATGTGTTGTTAGGTTTTCTGCGTGTCGGAAGAGTAGCCGTGTGATTTAGATCACGGTCTTGGCTGGCCGGTGTCTGGTTCTCGTACTAAAGTAACGAGATGTGGACTGAAGTAAGGAATGAACTAAATGCTCATTAATGTAGCAAAACCAAGGGTTAAATTTTAAAATATTATTGAGAAGGTTACATCACACAGAAGTATTTGGAATATTTTAGCGGTTGAATTACGTAAACCTAAATTCTGAGCTGTTCTTGGGCAGTAATTTTTAATTAAATGACGTGGTGTTTAATAAAGTGATATTATAGCAGGCCTAGTTTAATTGAACTTTGTTTACTTGTTATGAATTCAGTATAGCAGAACTCTAACAGAATTTTGATAGTCTGGTGTTTTTAATATTATACTATTGCTTCTGCTGCTACTGCTACTACTTCTTTTACTCATTACATTAACCACCACAACAGCCATAATAATGCCTAACTTCAGAACACCCCAGAAGCTGATGTGATACTTGCAAAATGGCCACTATTTGGAAAGGAAAGATGATAAGTAAAAAAAAAAAATGCCACAAAATGTGGGAAATTCAAATGAAATGACATGTATTTTACGTGATAGAAGCATTGAAATGATAGGAAATATAACAAGCCTGAAAAAATTCAAGATTTTAGGTCGTGGCCTTATGTCGCCAGTCATAGACTAGAGTTCGTATTTTTGAAAACTGAAGACTGAAAAATCAATATTAAACCTGAGATTGAGAAACTTTCTTTCAATTTGATCTTGAAATTTGAGATTTACACGTGCCTACAAAATATTAAAAACTACCAATATTTCACAACTGCCCACCTTCCCTTTTGGGGTTGATGGGCGTAATGCTGTTCCCAGTGGAATATAGAATAAAGATGGCAAGTATTTCAGGTGCTAATGTGCCTCAACTATTGATATATTAGATCCCTACATTCCTAAATTCTATAGCCGTATACATTTTCTTCCACAGCGGACACAGAGTTTCGTTGCTAGCCACTTGATATAATGGTTTGAGAATTGAAATATTCTCAAGGAACATTTAGAATGGGATGAGGGCAAAAGAACAGTGAAGGTAAACAATTTGTAAGATTTGAGGTTTTCACAGCGGTGAGTATGAAGATTTCTGTCTTCTGGGTTGTTCCGCCGTGTAGTCTGGTAATGTCCACTAGCGTTTCAGAGGTCATGCTGCTTCCGTCATCACGGCGATGAATATGCATATGACCTCTGAAACGTTGGTAAACATCGACCAGACTACACAGCGCAACAACCCAGAAGATAGAAATCTTCAGATTAAGGATTATTGCTACTAGGTGTTCCTATCATTGCCTTCAGCACATTAAGCATCCCAGACATACATATAGGAATGTGAAATGACTCATTATTCTGCATGTTTTAAATTCTTGTATAGTTTACTTGTAAATTTAGTCATTATTCTTAATACTTCTGTGTCTGCTTGAAACATCTCGCAGTACAATATTCTGCCTTATTTAATATTATCACGAGTTTGGTAAATAATTTTGTTGCCATATTTGTCTGTAATTGTAAAATTTAGAAGTCATTTGAGCTCTGAGCTACCAAATACAGAAAGTCACTTGTGGAAACATGATAAATTAAACATTCAACTTTCATCGTAATATACAGTTTCAAACCAGCTTATGATACATGAGAATTCTATGTACCATTGTTATGTTTATGAAAATCTCTTCGCAAAAGAATATTATTTCTGTGTGAGTACATCAATTTTTGAGACACATTTCCACAGTGTTCCCTCGTCTATAGTGACAAATGATTTCTAGGAACTAGATGGGATGATATTTTAAGATAAATTCTAATTAAAAATTTATACATCAGTTTTTAACCATTTGCTTCAAAATTCTTAGTGAAGGAAACAGAAATTAGACTGATAATCATAACACTGGATCATTTAGTCACAGAAGCAGTGCCCGGACATGTAATGCAGTTTACGATTGTTTATGGTCTGCTATTTTGTAGATGTTTTACACTTACTACAGTTGTTGGAAGTTTCTGACAACATTGAACTGTACAATTTCTAAGTTACCACTACTATGGAACCATCACTCAAGTGTTCATAGTAGCCCTGACATTTTCTTACGCCGTGTACTTAGCTGGGCCGAACTGTGCAATATTTATACGTGTAAATAGAAACTGCCAGCTAATGCTAGGCCCACATTTGTAAGTAAGTGCCGCTTAGCTTGTTTATATTTAGAAATAAAAATATGCAAATAATTGTAAAACTGTAATGATGTATAAATACATGCAAATTTAATATATGTGTAAATTTATTTACAAATATTCTCATGACATCGTCTGTCACCATTTTTGCAGCACGCTGCATCATTATGTAAAATCTCAACATTATACCTATTCATTTTGGCCATTTTATTACAGCTATGCACCCAAGACTGTTCATCACAGCTGCAATGTCAGATGGTAGGATACGGATGGGAGTGTCTGTGGCATGTTTAAAACAAGATACAAAGATATTCCAGAAGGGACTGAGGAAATCCATGAAAATATTCAGTATTAGTAGCTGGCTGGTGTCTAGTGAATTTGAATGCAAATTTTTAAGTGAGCCTCAATTTTCAGTAGATATTCAAAAGTGACTATTAATAGGAATTTACTTTTTCTGAGGGCCGCCTTTATTTGGATGTTCACAGAGTTTAAATTTGGATAATACAGGTTTTCTTTTCCAAGATTAATATTAATAGGTTAGAAACTTCGCAAATTTACTGACTTATAATTGGGTAGATGGGTACGTACCCCATCGCATTGTAGAATGAGGAAGTGAATGCTAAGAGCATAAAGACTTCTCTGTGCATTTAATACAACCTATCCTTATTTCATTATGTTAGTGACAATGAATTTGTGTAGTGATACACAGATGTATAGTCCTGAATAGTAATGGAAGTAACATACATCGCCTGTTACCTTTTAAATTTTATCTGGACAGTAAAACTTTCCAAACCTGATAGGTATTACACATAACCTAAATGTTCAATGACATTGTCATGTATGTAATTTTCAAGATAAAAAACTTGGCTTACGGACCAGTAATTGCCCCTGTTAAGTGGGCAAGGTAATCTGTAAATTAATGAAAATTGGAGGCAATAAGAACTTTTTACTTTCTGGGTTGATATTTTGAGTACACATTTGATGTATAAATTTCGGGGCTGTTTCGTTGTGTTACATAGGGCTAGAAGTATGCGTATGAATACATAGTTGTTTCAACATGAAAAGAACGAATTTATTCCTGCTACGAAATCGGTATTACAAATTAAACTCAGTATAATTATTCCGTTTAATCATGTTCCTTGCACACCGGATAAATTAATCGCTATCACATCCATCTGTGTATTCTACGCCTTAAATAGCTGAGTACAAATACAGCGTATTGGGTGAAGGGAATTTTTTTTAGCGCAGGGGATATATGGGATTTTTAGTACTTCTTTAGTGGCAGCACTATGTTGATACCATCTGTGGCATTACTTTTCCGATTCCGCCATTACAGGCAACTACAGGTGCAAGGTGTGTGAACAGTTTGAATAATACAGTGTTCTTGTCATTTTGTTGTCGAAGACGCAAGTTCTTTGTGAGGTGAGTGTAATTTTTGCCATTTTTTCCATGTTATAACAAGAGGTTTAATCGTAACTCAAAGACGTGCATACCACAAAGCATATGTACTAATCTAATCCACTTATAAAGCAGTCCCAGAAACAACCCGTGGTTGATGGAGCGATATTTTATTGTTCATGTAAGCTGATCCGCTCTAACAAATCACACTAGTCCATAGTGGGGCTGTTCGAGCCGCATTGTGTGCGGAATGTTTCTTGCAGTTTTGTAGTGTTTTCACTGCAAACAGCTCGCTGAACGCATAATGTGTTTTCGAACTCAGAAGTGGACGTGCCTTAGGCCGAGTACGCAGCAGTAAACAAATTACATGAACGTTTCTAGCAAGTCTTGAATTACAGTTTCAGTCTACGAACTCGGGATGGTCTTTCTCGGGCACTAGGAGGTGGGACGCAACTAAACCCATTGCTCAAAAATTCTATAATAATTTAAATTGTAGACGGAATGTCCCACCTGACTCGTTATCATCCGGTGCTTAGTCTCGGTTTCAAATCTCGGCTCGGAGTCCGGAAGTCCTGACATTTTTGGTTGTTTGCCTCGGCCCCTCCAATAGAATGTCTGGGAAGTATCCTTACCACAAATTAGGCCACGACCGTTTCCTTTCCTATCCTTTCCAATTCATTATTCTTAAATCCTGTTATTTGCGCCATATGTTCTGAGTTGCTGAAAGTGTCGTTATGCAAACCATAAATAAATAAATTAATTTAACTAATGGATTCTTCGTCACTGAATAATAAGCCAGAAACAGTCTACAACATGGACGAAACCGAACAACAGACCACGAAGGGTTGTAGCTCTTTGGGATAAGGAACTTGAAGCTTGGTCTTTTGTGATAGTATCAGAATTTTTGTAAAAACAAGAAAGACTTTTTTAATTTATTCGCTTCGAAGAGTTTCAGAACTTTCGTGTTTCTGGGTCAGTAATTTTGATCTCGGACGCCCATGCACTGCTCGTTTCTGACTCTCAGGTTAGGGTGAGAACTGCGTTGTCTTTCTCGTCATGCGACCTACATGTTGCTAAGTAGCGACGGCTTGGCTGAACAGTCATCCAAGGTTAAACATTTCTAAAAGTACGTTCAGACGTTGCCTTTCCGTTGCGTGGAGTCACGGTGCCTCGATCGCTAATGCAGTGCGTCAGAAATACGTTCCCGCTTCATAGAAATGTTTATGACGGCTTTAACAGACACTAATGATGAGTTGAGCGGCTTGAAGAAATGATAATGTTCTGTTAAGAAAACAGCAAATTTTGCTTTGTTGTCATCATGTGGGAAAGACCCACCAGCAAAATTTCATATGGGAAAAGATCACAGATAAACTTAGAACTGGTTAAACACTAAATGAAATTTTCAGGGTCACAATCTCGTTACTAAAGAAAGTTGTAAGAAATAAGCGATAGCATAAGAAAGAAATACCTACGACGAAAATCTATGAAAAAGGAAACCACAAGACTTCTTATGACACTGACAGAATCTGCAGAAAATCAGTTAATGGCATCTTGTCCGCGTTCTGTGGAATTGCTTACAGGTGTCCATTGTCGGCTTTGAAAGGCGACTGGATGCAGTATCAACAGTACAGAACATGGAATGACGAAGAATGTGTTGAAGAAGGTGTTTGCGTATGGAAAATAGATCTCATGCAAATAGTCCTTTCACCTACCCGAACAGCCCTGTCATCTTTCAGATCGTTGCAACATGACTGTTGTTAGGACGTTAAAGATTTAAAATACAGCAGTATAATATTTAATTTGTAGATGGCAGTTAAATATTTTTCTGTAACAAAATGTCAATTAAAGAAACGCAATCTAATCTTTTACGTTTAAACCTGAAACACCACTCCTTACCCATGGTATATGAATTTTGGACAAGTCTGAATTCTTGAGTCGCAGTCATTTTTCGGAAATGTCAGAACCAAATTAAATTACGTTATCATAACTGACCAATAAATTTAAACAAGTTTCTCACATGATGGCTCTAATTCGTGTTACGTCAGTATTCTGGCGTTGCGCATCGCACGCCATTTCACCACAAGGTGAATCTAATTTTACGCACTTCTAGGCGTTTAACCATGTCTGTGATTTATCGCTTCAACTCTTGGGCTCCATAAATATATATTAGATTATGAATGGTCTATTTTAGTACGCTGTTAATATCTGGGACGAGGATTATATTGTGTCGAAATATAAAATAATTCATGAATGATGGAGGGGAAAGGATTTTAAAGGAAGCGATCCTGATCTAATTTCAGATGATATCCCGAAAAGTGTCCAGAAGGGCTGATAGCACGACTGGAAAAGTGTAATCCTTACCGAAAAACATAAAATTCTGGAGATTCC